AAAAAAAAAAAAAAATCAGTTCAGCTTAGTTTAATGCCTGATGCCATTCCTGACGTTACGTCACCTTTTTCTAATTGCGAAGCTGAACAAATTCAGTGTCGATCTAAAATAATCTGTACTTTGTTGATTTGGGAACATGGGAAAAAAAAAATGCCTCAGAGAGGTGGAGGACGACATGTCTGCTGTAACTGAAACAGTTGCTTTGTCCCTGTCCTCCAGCACAGCAACATGAGGAGCACCAAGGTCAGTCATTAGCACCGGCACGGAGAGACAGGAGTCTGTGTGTGGAATTTCAGGCATCAGTGTTTCAAACCGCTCTCGGTCTTCAAACCTCTGTGAGTTGCACAAAGACTTGAGATTCAACAGCAGGTGTGTGTGTGTGAGCAACAACAGCAGCACTGACCCAAACAAAACGCCGTGATCCCCCCCCCCCCCCCCCCTTCCCTTCCCCTTTTTTGTGATGCACTTGTGGTGAAACTTACACTCGGAGGGTGTCGTGTATGTCCCTGTGGGGACGCAGTCTTTTTTAACTTAAATTTTATTGTGTGAGCAAAAGGACAGGCACAGTACATCAATAATCCCACTGTCTGTCCACTTACCGTCAGCAGCTTATATGAAGTTTTAAACACAGTTTTATGCACAGTAATGACTCAAATCCATCATCTCAGAAACAAAACGTTGTCTCATACTATTAATAATCCCATCATTTCGACTAGTCCCAGTTAAAAACCTGCTGGTTTTGTCTTTCTGTTCAGGAAACACATTTTTTTCTCTAATATTTCAAGGTGATTCATCTTGATTAATTGTGATTAATCAACAGCCCACCATGTGATTATTCAGATTTTTTAAAAAATATGGTATTTGAATTCTACAGCTATATTTACTTCAGGCATAATGTTAATATTATTTTTTCTTTTTTTATTGTCATACACCCTTACTAAGGCCTGGAAAAAAAACGAAACATGCCTGGAGATTAAAAGTCTATTTAGTCTCCAGGCTCCTACTGTGGGCAGTTATTTGACCCATGCAGAGCTGCTGTGGTTTTACTGTCAACTCTGGGCGGCTCTTGCTAACATGCCTTCACCTGGTCCGGTTTCCTTTCCTGAGTGATCGCCTTGTCTTCTGGGACATTTGGAAAAAGGATGGCAGCTCATGTTGGCAACAAAAAGAGACTGGAAAATGTGACAGGAAATGAAGGCCAGACATAGAACCTGTCCAGGGAAGACTTAAGGAGTATTTATAGTAGGGTTGTGAGAATTCCGCATTCCCATCTAATCTTTCTTCGGTGTTAGGAGTCCTGTGGTATGAAGAGGTTCTTACTTGTCCTGACAAACGGTGCACTGAGCCGTGCTGTGACGTGATGTGTTCTTTAGTGATCTGTCAGCTCCGCAGCGCTCGCACAGGGATTCACTTTCACCAGACAAACAAAGGCAGTCAGAGGATCAGAGCGCGTGGTTGGGAATCATAATGATTCCAAAAGACTAATTCAGAAAAAAGGAAAAAGAGAATCAGCACTGAAATATATTTTAGTTTGTATTTGGATTGTAAATTATAAGCTCTGCCTTTAAATTCACTTCAACCAGCACACGTTCCCAGTGCCTTCTGTGTAATGAATAGACCTATACGTTATGACAAGACACCGAGCCGCAGTGACTCATCTGCTCTACACCCAGAACAGAATATACTATCAGTATTTAGTCTTGCTGCCGTTGTTAAGGCTTTCTCTGTAGATTCATGGCTGCAGCTCTTGTTTATGTCTGCTGCACCGAGATACGGTTTAATTTCCATTTTTGGAAAGAGGATCTGTGCTCCTGTGTTTGTGCCTGGGTGGATGCGAGGAGGGCAGGAACCAGCACTCAGGCCTCTGTGTTGTACGGGTCAGCGACGGGTCGACACGGGAGAGGGCACTCCCTGTCTCACTA